AAGCTGGCCCATGTGTATGCCACACAAATGGCAATCTGACCGATACGGCCTGCTCTGCTGCACGTACGGCTATCAACACGGAAAGTTGAGCTGGGCAAGAGGAGTACATCTTAAGTGCCCTCATTCATTGACCCAATTCTGATTCAGCTTCTAGAACTGTTTTTTTTTCGAAGCCTGCACTCAGAATTACCATTGTTGAGTTCTTCCATCTCGAGTTTAATTTTAAACAGCAGTTTTTTGGCGTGGGCGGGCCTCACAGACAGCAGTTGCTGCACTCGGTCCCAGTAAGAACGACAAGAACACCAAGAAGACAATAAATAGCTGTACAGAAGAATCCTATCGGGTGAAACAGGCCGCGACTTGCAGACTTAGCCAGCAGGGATCGTTCGGCCTTTCAGGGGTAGTTTCTCTCAGTTGTCCTTTTCCCGAACGAGCAGCTTGAAACATGCATCCATCAACCAGCTCGCTTCATGGTAGATGTGTAACGAAGGAGCGGCCCAGCTTTACAGCAGCGTGAGTCTCGCAAAGCTAGCAGCGAAGAAGAAAAGCGCGCTGCTGCCATGTGCCCTTTATGCAGAGCTACCAGCCGTGAATAAATGCTGAGCGAAGGTGGAAAGCCGCGTGCCATGGCTCCAACCTACGGCACCGCACTTGAGCAGGCCCAGCTTCCCAACATGTGGGTCTCGCAAGGGCGACCCAGTGTGATCACAGTGTGACAGAGGAGCCGCGCAGAGGCAAACCAGCCAAGTCTTGGCGCACTTCGGTCCCAGCCCAGCTTCCCACCATGTAGGTCTCGCAAGAGCAGCGCACTGGAACGCAATGCAACCGAGTACCGCCGGGTCATGGCCCCGCTGTCAAGCCAGGCCACAAATACCGCGTTCCAAATGCTGCACTTTTTTTTTGGCGTGGGCGGACCTCATGGGACAGCAGTTGCTCGGTCCCAGTAAGAACTGCAATAAAGCAAAAAAAGGACAAAAAGAGTGAACTGAGAAGTCAAGATGCGACTGGAAGAGGTGAAACGAGTTTTGCTCTTCTTGGGTGCTCTTTGCAGAGGCGGGATGGCAGACTTGAAAAGCTGCACTGGATTAAAGGCTCTTCCTATATCGTCATTGATCAATCCAGATTCTATTTTCCAGTAACTTGTCAAACTTCAAAGCAGTTTTTTTGGGTATCTGCTTGTAGTATTCGGAGGCAATGCAGCAAACAGGGCGGGCACACAGGCTCGAGCCCGGGATTGTGATGCCACATCATAGCCCTGCCCTGGCCATTCGGCAAAGCGGCGGCGGCTGTGAGGGTGGGACCTATAGCGCGAATCATTAGCAGCTCGGAGCGTTTGTTTTTGACTTGTTCAACTTCCGTGTTGTAGAAAAAAAGTTGTGTGCCACAGGACTCCACTTCATGCAGCCGCACGTCCGCTTGTGCTTCTTGTTACTCATTGGATTCATGGGAACATGTTTGTTCCGTTTGCGACAAATCATCTTCGCTGAAGTGATGCGTTTTCCTGACTGGATCTACAATGTATATTTGAGAAAACGAAAACCGTTTGATAGTTCTTTTCGTTCAATGTGTTGTCGAACGGTTTTTGAGCGTCTGTGTTCAAGGATCCGCCTTGAGGCGACTACTGGTGTGTGCACATTGCTTGTGGGCATGTTCCATGGAAACGTTGGAAAAGCCTTTCAAACTTGTCGCTCTCATTGTTCTCTTCGGTCGGGGAAAAAACGATGCCGTTTAAGTCGGACGGTTTACTTTTTACAACAAAAGGTTTCATGCTCCGTATTCACTGATTTCACGGGAGTTTCCTAACCATATGAAGTGCTTGAAAATTTGTTTCACATTTTTGCTGTGTTTTTCATGTGCAGTGCTCGCATCCGGCATTAGAGTTGTCGAAGCTGTGCAGCCGCCAATGTAGTTCATGCATGTATTTTTCGATGTTGAATCCCAGCGACCAATGCATGCTGGAACGGGCAAGCCAGACTCAAACGTGTGTTTTGGGATCTTCGTGCATCGTATGACGTTGTTGTTGACGCAGGGCTAGGTCGTTGCAATGATCATGTCAAACTGACGCAATCCAATGTGGAAGCATGCCTCAAAATGTATAGTGGTGTTCGTCGCTCATCGATGTTTCGGAATACAGTTGCTGATATTAGCCAAAATCTGATTCATAAGATACCCATTTATGTCATTGTAAACAACCCGAATTACTACGCCAGCACAGTCAGACGGAGCCTTGCCACTTGATGAATTTCCAAACTCTGGCGATGCTGTCGTCGCAGCGGTGCTTGGCTGCGCATGGTTTCGTGTTGTGAAAGCTTTGCACGGCCCTGTGCTGCTTCTTATGTCGTTTGACGCTTGCTTTGAGCCCTCGTGCTGCTCGGTTGTGCAATGCAAGTTTTTCAACTTTTCAGCACTTTTGATGTGCGAATCAATGTCAGGCAAAGTGTAGCTACCGATTCACACGATACAAACGAACGTCGACCACTGCAGCATTGCACAACTATGCTATTTCGTTTGTTGTGTTCATCAAGTTTCATGTCGTGGCGCCAAGCTCTCGAGCATCCGCCGTGTTGAGTGATGAGGTTGTGAGATGTGCAGAGTAGCATCGTGGACGTGGCATGTAATATATTACAAGCGCAACTCATGCCTGCGTAGATGGGCCGCGCGCTGGCTTTTTCGGTGCGGTTATCAAAAGGCAGTTGTGGCAAAAACTGGGACAGTGGTTTCCCTTCCGCTCGCAATACGAACGCGCTAACGTCCACGCCCAAAGTATGAACGACGGGAGCAAAAATGAATGTTGTTGCTACCGTGCAAACGAGGCTGAAACATAACATTGTCTGCGAGGGACGGCACTGCCATCAATCCCCCACGATACTTTGCGTGAGCACGGTGCAGCGCCAGCAAACGCAGCACCGGTCGCACAACAGAAATTTTACATGGAGACGCATCGTCGTTTGTGAACCCAAATATGTATCGCTTTGTTGAGATGTTTTGCACCAATCAATGTCGGAAATGGCGATCTTCAACAACGTCTCGCAGCCGGGTCGCTGGGAGACGTGGTGCACGACGCCGTCCCTTCACTCGCCCCTACCCTCCAAGCGAGTCGAGCCGGATGCAGCGCAGCTGGGACTTGTGGGTTCTGTGCTGTGTTGAACCAAATGGGTTGCTGGGTTGCAGGCGGTGGTGGGGCCTGCTAAGCCTCCTTCCATCGGTGCCACCATGCATAGCGCACAGGTTCAGCCTCGCTGGCTCGTTGCGCTACTGCACCCGCACACAGTCCCGTAGGCTGCAGGTGCACTGGGATCAGGTGTCGGTCGCCTGAAAACTCCGTGGAAGAAAATAATTGCACGCCGTTTGGCTGCTTGTCCACTTATACCACATTTCCCGTATTTGTTGTGCTATTTGCCACCACGAATCCGGAGCAAACGAACCACAACTCAGACCAACAGTTTTTTTTTTCGCCCAGAGGGGCTATAACATCACCACCGCATCCGTGTCCCGTGCACCAAATTTGTTGGTACCCACCGGCATAGGCAACTCCACCCGACGCCGCAGTGCTGTGAGCATGCGGTGGGGCGGCAACGCCAGGCCTGATTTCAGCACCCTGTCGTGGCTCGCACGCTCGGGCGACAAATGGCAACGGCAAACACAACGGTTGTGTCATGTTTTGTCAACGGCGAGTGCCGCGCAGTGCCACTCAGCGGTGAGGCTAGTAAAATGCATCTCGACTGCGCGCTGATCCACACCGGCGTCGTGTCGTTGCCAGCGCGAGTGACTACAGTCGGCGACAGGACACCCCATGCGGGCAGGCCGCGAGATACCCGCCGGGTTGCGCGTCGGTGCTCATAGAAGGCGAAACCGTTTACAGGGTTGTCACGAAGCATGTCGCATTGCTCGCCGGACGAGCGAAGTCAATGTGTGCGGGTGGTTTTATGTGATCGGGATAAATACACTGGATTGTGTTATCTATACCCAGAACCTTGCGTGACCATGAAGGGGTTGTGGTGGTGGTGATGCCGGTGGTCATGATGCTCATGAAGCTGTTGGTAGGTTTGATAATGTTGATGATGATCTTGATGATTGCCCTTGCACAAGATACCGACGGCGATACGAAGCTAGGCAGTGCCGTAATGGGATGAGGCTATTTCCAATGTGCCGGATGGCAGCGCAAAGCCTCCCATGCCTGCGATGAGCGCCTGCCCGACACGCGCCTTGCTGACTTATCCTCTGCGTCTCGTGCGCTTCTGCTTCTTTCGCAAGTTGGATGACACGCGGAAACACGCGGCCCGAGCCTACATGGTTTTGCGCGTGTCGAATGATGTTGCACACCTCCGCGTCCTGCTGCGCTACTTGCGCATGCCCCTCCCGCTAGGCCTGCGGAGTTGCCCCACACAGCAAGCTTGATGCGTACGGATATCATCGAGCCGATGTGCGGTGCATCGCGGTTGCATGCAACGGCTTGCCGCCTTGGCACCACACGAAAGCGCCACCGGAAGGTGGAGTTTTCAAGATCCAGGCTGCAATGTGATGGCTGTTTGAAGCTCGGTGCAGCTCCTGCTGTCTTTATTCTTTGTGGAGGTGCAGCATTGCTCTACTCGCATTGTTGTGGCAAGCCGTCAGCCGGGATTCGCTCTGGGAGAATTCTGCTCCCAGACCCCTATGTGCCATCAGGTCAACCTGTAGCCAGGGTCTACTTCGGCACCAGCTCCAGTCACCTTCACTTGCAGAAGGAGAGCCATCCTTGCCTTACATGCAGATGCGCGTTTGGGGACTTGCAGGTGCATCCAGCTGATATGGCCACGATCCGCGGCCGTTCCGGTTCAGGCTTGCAGTGCACTAATTCGTTATTTCACTTTGCAGGTGAGATCTGTGAGCTCGCGGTGAGTCACGATTCGCATCTGGAGACATGTGCTGCACACAAAATCACACGGCGATAACGGCTTCAGCAAAGGCAGTGCTCACACTGGCGTTCACAGAAAGGCCTGCCACGGACCTCCGCATGTAGGTCATCCAGCAGTTGTTGTTGTTTTTTCCTCGCGCTTTCTTACGTCCGCACATCGGGTCCTGCCGTGAAAACTTGTGCTCCGACCTAGTGGCGCCCACGTGCTTGGCTCGATGCACTGCCAGCAATTTGTGCTTGGCCGCGACAAATCGCCGACAACCTCCTGCATGCGCTTGCCGCACTTGTCACCATCCCCTCCGCAGCGGTCCGGGTACTTCTCCTCGGCCGCGTGCCTGTGCCTGCCATGGTCTGCTGGACCCAGCTCTTGAAGCAAAGAAGCATAATGGCGGTCAGCGTGCCGCATTAACAACGTTGTCACGGTGCGAAGCCAGGGCTGAATCGAAGTTGCAGGGTTACCAAGGTGGATACTGTAAGCATGCGGAACCGGGACTCCGAGCAAGGAGAGCTCGCCCAATACCTCACGGACCCACGATAGAGGCTGGTTCAATGCAAATTGTGCTAGTTGCGCAGCAAATCAATGAGGAGGAAGGCAGAGTAAACGTGCGCAAAGGCCTGCTGCGTGAGAGAGGCGCAAGGTGTCGGCATCATGCCAACCAAGTTGGCGCTGGAAAGCAACACGGGGGCTGCCATGCGGCCAAGTCAGCAACCGTCGACCCCGTTTTATTAAGCGAACTTGAAACCGGCGAATTCGAACACCTTGCGGTTCAAACGCCAACCCGAAACAAGCAGACGGTCGCACGTAGGAATGGAAAATTCGCTCCACGAAGAAAAGTGGCAAAGTGGTTGACTGTGTCCATGAAGCATAGGCAGCAATTTTACGCTCACCCCGGCATAAAAGTTCATCGATGTGTTGCGTCCACCCCAAGAATTCATGAAGAGTGATCCCTAAGTAAGTGTATGTGCTCACACGTGGGAGGACATGCTAACCAACATGGAAGCGGACGTGCTGTGTACCAGCATAAACTGATCGGCATATTACAAAAACTGATCGGCATATTACAAAACCTGTAAGCGTGGTGCGCCGCGGTCAGGGCCGCATGACTCGACACACCCCCACAAGCACGCTTAATTGCGGCGGTCAAGCCCGTTGATGAGTAAATTGAAGAGGAAACCACCCAAAACAGCACCTTGCCCTACCCCATTACCCCCATCCCACGAGTCCGAAGCACATGATCCGATATGTACCGCAGCGTTTCGGTCACTCACCAAATCATCAACCAAATGCCACAAGTGAATGGGGATGCCCGCCCTATACAATTTTAGAAGTGCACCATCGCACCAAGCTACATCGAAAGCTTTTCGGGGGTCAAGGAAGGCGCAGAAAGTTCGGGAGCTTTTGCACAATCGAAGAGTCTCCCAACGTACGTGCAGAATTGGACATCAGATCCCCAACGAAATCCTGCTTGGGAGGGGTCGAGCTGCAAGTCTACTGCCGGTCTAATGCGGTCTAAAACCATCCTTTCCAACGTTTTTGCAAGGCACGACGTCAAAGTTATGGGCCGATAATCATCACTACGCTCAGTGGCACTGATGTTTTTGGCCATTGGGACTACAACCCCATGCTTCCAAATGGACGGCACACAACCATACAACCTGCATAGCTCAAGAAAGTCGACACATAGTGCTGTGTATGGGATCTTGTCGCAACCCGGGGTTTTGTCCAACATGCAGTGTTGCAAGGCAGACCTGAGTTCAGCCAAAGTAATGCAAAGATAAGAGATACAATATATTTACAATACGAAGCTTTGGCAAAATGATAAGAAACAACAAAAACTGGAAACACGAATGTCAGTAAGCTTCGTGAAAAGACACATGAGCAGGTACACCGTCGTAAAGGCGTTGAGCGCGTGCGAAGACAGTAGATGCCACAGAAGTAACACACATTTGCGCATCACGTCCTCTGACGGGAACTGTGCAACATGTCCCAGAAGTTGCATGGGATAACTTGGCACAGTTTGCATGTCGCAATACATGTTTGTCCGTAACACGACTCACGAAGTAAGGTGGCATGCGTAGAATCTGACGGAGACACCGAGTCTGAAGAACATCCAGTTTGCAAATGTCGGCCTTTTCATACCCCGCCGTGTGCATCAGCTTGATTATGATGCACGCTGAAAAAATTATACTTTGATTACTGTGTCCAACACTGCGTGTTTCCATACCCGGCAGAAGGCGTGGAAGTCAGCGGTTGCCAGGCCCAGCCTGCGATGAAGTTCCGCAATAGCTTTGCCGGAAGCGTGCAGCGGGGCTCCTTATGATTTTTCCACGGAAGCCAGACAAAACTCGAGTTTTTTCTGGATGTTGTTGAAGTGCCTTCGGACATGACACAACCTTCGCGGCCGCAAAATTGCCACTTGCCTAGATGTTGTTGCTGCTGCCTGCTGCTGCCTGCTGCTGCTGCTGCTGCTGCTGCTGCTGCTGCTGCTGCTGCTGCTGCTCCGACGCCTGTCCAGTATTTTGTGTGAGCTCCCGCCCTACTCCCGACCTGAACGGGGCTTGGGCCGACGTAGGGTAGCTTCCACGCAGGCACTGCTGGGAGTCACTCGCGGAGCCGAGCGGAGGGAATGCTGGCGATTGATGTGCTGTGATCCCTCCAACTAATGTTTGCGAAACGAATAGTGCAGCTTGGGAATGGTTCGGATGCAAAAATATATCAACAATGCGCTGTGATGCCGCCGATGTGTCCTGAGCGGGAACTCGGAACCCAGCATGGGGAAGACGGCGGCATGCCGTCGCTACCCTTGCTGTAGCCACTGTAGCCACGCCATATGGTCCCAATCAGGATTTGCTGGAACCTTTTTGATATGTGGCCTGCAGTTCAAGCCCGAACTATGCATGTAATAGGCATCGTGCTGCATGCGCTGGGAGAAGTAATGTGGGAGACGGAAAACAGTTGCTTGCCGCTGCCTGTTTACGTCGGAGTTGAGGGACGTCCCACTTAGTGTAGGGTGGGATTTGGCGGTTACGGCCGTCGTCCGCCGCATAGTTTCGGCGGCTGCCGCAAAGCAGGACTCCACAATTGCACTCATGCGAGTTGTGTCGCAATGCAGTTATCTTGTTCCTGACCAAGGCATAATGCCCAGCGACCGCGAGAATGGTTTGTCTTCCCCGCTGCTGCGGACCAAACCTTCACCTGAAGAGGCCTTGGCGCTTGAAGCGTAGCAGCTACCATGAGATTGCGTAGAAGGCGTGTTGGAGCTTGCCGGGCTGAAGGGATGGCTGTGGCAGGAGCCCACCAGCCGGCAACGCAATCCTTACATGGATTGGTGGCTGCGCAAATGGCGGCTGATCTTGTACACGGTGGGACACTGGCCAGCTTCGGATGCATTTTTCCGTGTCTCCTCTCGACATCCATCCAGGTGTGCTTGTTGGTAGCTTCTGTCGGGAATACAGCCATGCACTCAGCAACACACCCTGCAAGTTGTGCTTCCAGCAGTGTTCGATTTCAGGTTTTTTTCAAAAGAATGACGTCGGCCATGCCCAACTACGGCCTGAGTCTTTGGTTTTTGCAATTGCTTCTGTCAAAGACCGATGCGCCATGGCAGTATCTTGTGACAACCTGTGGCAAGCTTGCGGCTGGCCTAGGGTGGTATTTGACGCAGCTTTCCACACTTATCTATGTGCCGTTTTTTGCCACGCTGGCCGGCACTGGGATTACCCAGCAGGCTCAGATATCGAACACTGCCAGTAGCGGTGGCACTGTAAGCCGTGTCAGGTGGATTTCGAACTGGCGTGAAGCCCAGACACTGCATACTGTAACTGTGGGAGCATCCGACATGGCAGCATCAAGAAATTTCTTGTCACTGTTGCAATGCGTTTGACCAAGGTACGAAAATTCGCGCTGATGGGTGTTTTCGATGGCCTCAGTGGCACCTTCATGGTGCACCACCTCGGATGCCCAAGTGTTGCAATGCGAAGTGCAATCAGCCTGACACCATCCGAGGTTCTCGGAGGTGTGCATACTTCGGGCACGTTGCAGGTCCTCTTGGGCCAGGCATGAAGCTGGGGGCGTTTGACGCAGAATAAATGAGTCAGCATCGAGCAGTATGTTGCTCCGAGTCGGCATCCCTGCCGTGCCACTGCATGGGGAGGGCTCTGAAAGCACTGCAACTCAACGTTCGAAAAGGGAAACGTTCGAAGGCATGCCGTCCATTCAGCCACCAGCTTGCAGGCTGTCATTCCAGTGACAATGATGCTGTCGGTGCTCCGACATGTATCCGTTGTTTCCTTGGGCGGTTGGCCGATTCCAGGTTCGGCTTATAAGTTGCAGTCTTCCAGCCACGCTTGCCAGGTGATGCTACTCCGCAAACAGTACCACATGCTGCAGTACTTGGGAGCTACTACAATCGTCATGGGCATCGTGCTGGATAAGGCGGTGCTTCCGCAACTCGTTGAAAGGGTATCGGTTGAGTTCGCGAGTTCGTAGGTGGGAGTTCGCGAGTTGGTAGGTGGGAGAACAAGGGGGACAGGTGGTGGACAGAGCTGTGCTGTTTTCTGTTTTTTCATGTCCAAGCTCCTTCCTGTGCCATACTGCAGAAGCCGACAACGCCCTTCCCGTCTATGCCATAAACTCGCACAGCCCCAAGTCCCTAAACCCTAAAGAGTCGTAAACCAAAATCCCTCAGACCTTACAAACCAAAACCTAAATCCCAAGCCCATTGTGCAAGTCTTTGAGTCGAAACCTTAAACCCTTCCTGCCGCGATTCATCACAGCCTTTTCTGTGCAGGTGGTGGCAACTAACGTCCCCGCGGACTCAATGGACTGGGTTTAGGGTCTCTGGTGTCGAGCCCATCGGTACACGCAGCCTTTCACAAGTGTCGTTGAGTAAGGAGTAAGGAGGTTTGCGTGCTTGCATTACCCAAGTCCCTTGCTGCAGAGAATCGAGAATCAGGCTTTTATGAGACTTCCAGATGCCAGATGCTGATACATGGACCGCTGCATTGTCCGATGTCTGCAATTTCAAGGTGTTTCCGTGGCATGTGCTACCCAAAGTGTTCATTGTAATGAGCCCCCTCCGGCCGTAGTTGAAATTTTTGTGAACTCGTGAACTCAACCCTTGGAGCTCCTTTCTGCTTTCCTTTGCATCTTGAGCCATCATGGAGAAAGATGTGTCATCCGTGCCCCAATTCGCAGCAGACCATGCTGCAAAACTGGCGCGACGAGCTTTGCTGGCCTCTGCAGGACCGGTTACGCAGCTTCTGATCGGGGATGCCATCGGCGATGCTTTCGGTTTCGGAGTGGAGATGCAGGACGCGTACTGGTTAAGGCAGAAGGTGACGCGCTGTACCAGCTGGCCGGAGAACCCAGTGAAGCCAGAGGAGCACAGGTTCAACAGCATCCGGGGAATGTATTCAGATGACTGTGAGATGACGGTGGGCTTGATGAAAGCATTCCTGCAACATGGAACGAATGTGACAGAGGAGGCCATGCTCACAGCTTGGCGAGTGGAATGGGAGCTTGCGAAGCGCCGGCCTCTCCCGGCAGTGCCCGGTGCAGAGCGCAGCGGCCATGGAAGTGTCAAGCATTTCTTTCGTGGAAGCACTACCTTAGAGGAGCTGCGGGAATCACAGGCCAGCCGTGTGGATCCTGGCAATGCACCGCCTATGCGTGCACTGCCGCTGGCTTTTGTGCACCCGGAGCTCTGCCAGAAGTTGTGCCGCGTGAATGCCGACAGCACCCACCCGCATCCAAAAGCCCGAGCTGCTAGCTATGTCATTGCGCAGGCAGCTCGCTGGCTCATCGTGGAGAGAGGTAAGAAGAGTCGAGTTGTGGAAGTGGCTTTGGAACGGCTGCAGTCCAGTGACTTAAACCATGCAGAGACTGCATCGCTGCTTCAAAAGATCGGGGAACTGCCCGATTACCACTCCTTTGGGCAGCGGCTGCGAGGCATGCCGAAGGATGTGCATGCCCTGCTATGCGGCCAGCAGCCACATCCGGACCTCGAGCGTGTGCCGGGAGGGGAGGATGGGACATCTCCAGTGCATGGCCTGGGCAGTGATGCCATGCGAACAGCTGGTGTCGTGCTTTACATCCTACGGTTTCATCGAGGTCCGCGCGATGCCTTACTGACCTCGCTCTACATCGGCGGAGATGTGGACTCGATCGCTGCTCTCTGTTTAGGGATTGTAGGGGGTTCGGAAGGCCTGCGATTGGGCCAGCGATCTGGCTTGCCCTGGTTCTTGCTGGAAGAGCTGGAGGGCGTCGAATACTTGGTCTCCGTCTCTTTCCGCTTCGAGGCCTGGCTCAAGCAACACATGGGCTTGGTCTTAAGAGCTCGGGGCTCGAGCTCGAGCTCCGTCTCTATGAAGCGCCCTGGAGCTGCTCTCAAGCGGCCGACCAAACGGCAGCGCTGACTCGAGCAATGCCTTTCTGGCGTATGGCGTAGTCGCGAGACCGATGTCTTAGACTGCGAGTGGCTGAGGCTATGCGCTTCCCTAGGAGCTCTAGCATTTTTCAGTGAGCCTTTCGTCATGGATGCTGTTGCTCTTTTCGGCTCCAGCTGCTATTGTTGCTTGTTTTGGCCGGCCAAGGAGGCATGGCTGCCGCTCTCTTGCAATCTCGGGGCGGATGCGGAAGAGAGAGGGTAGGCGGCCGGGAAGGCTTGGAAGGGTAGTGGTGTGCAGAAATTACCGGCTCCGAGGCGCTCTTCCGACGCGGCGCTGCCCTGGCGCTGCCCGCTGTGCGTGGCGTGGCCACGGCAGGGAAGCCGATTGTGTGCAAGGCCGGGCCATCTTTGCGCCGAGCTGTCGGGTTCACACCGCATGACATGCTGGAGGAGGAGGAGGAGCGTCCTTTTGGGTTCACAGCATCCTAGCCCAACCATAATGACGTGCATGGTCTACTATTGTGTTCTGAGTTCACAGCATCCTGGCCCCAACCATAATGTCGTAAATGGTCTAATGCATCGCGAGTTCACAGCATCCGTGGCCGAACCATGTTGATGTGTGAGAGCGCCCACTTCTTGCTGGAGCACCTATAGGGCTTGAAAGGACAGCCGCCGCCGCGGTTGCGTAGCAGGTCTTTTGCCGCAGTGTCGGTCCTTCTAGGAGGCAGACACGCCGGGGCAAAACGCGAAATTAGGTCAAGTGAAAATTGCTAGCCATGTCGGCATTTCCTGCACTTCCTTTCTTGGCACGATGACAAACACGAAAGTGGCTCCAGTGCGTTTGCTGACCCTGCCAGCATTTCCTCCAGTTGCTCAGTCTGAGCGCGAACCACGATTTACCTTACCCTGGTTTGTCCCTCGTAGTTTTCGTTAAGTTGGCAACGACCAGCAAAATCCAGCGTCACCTTCGGGATTAAGGTTGGTGTGATGTGTAATTCCGGGACTGATGTGTAATTCCCTGAAATCAGCATCTACATGGGGTGATGCATATTTCTGCGCCCTGATGTGTGTTAACCCCCCCCCCAGTACGGGAGCGAAAGGGCATTCACGCAATCATTGCCGGACGACACGGGTCATGAAACCTTTGGTTCTGCTGGAAGGCTGTGTGCGTCCTCGCAAGTCTCTAGGTGAACACAGGATCCGTTCGAAGGCACCCGGACTGTTTCGGCTTGCAGGCTGCGGTGGCCCGCGGTGTGAACGATCTGCGTGTCGAGGCTCCGTCGTGGTCTTTGGCTTTTCGTTCGAGCGATATCAAGGTCTGTCTGGCATTCCCCTCGCTGTGCTATAGGTGTTAGGAGAAGGCACTCGTAGCCCCGACGTTGCCTTACGACCTCCGATCTTGGAATTCTTTCAGGATATCTATATATATATACACATACACGTACAGAAATATATGCTTATACCAGGTATATTCATATATCTGTCTCATATGTGCATACAGCTATGCAATACGTATGTCTGCATGTATGTATGCGTGTGTATGTACCCATTTTTGTCATTTTGCATACATCCTTTCATGTCTGCATTTCTATAAATTAGATATCGCTATATCTTCACGATCTACTTATATACATATATGTAAACCTTGATATGTCTGGACATAAATGTAAACACATAGATATTTATGTATGTATTTTTTATATGCATATTAAATGCCAAAACTAAATAATTAGTGCGTATATACATACACATATATAGATATACATACCCACACACACACATATATATATATACACATGCATGTATGCCATGAATTGCATTTACATCTACATGCATGCATATGTACATGCATCTGTGCATATGTATATGTATGCATGTGTAAAGGGATGCCTGCTAGCATACGTGCATGTGTGTGTGTGTCTATGTATGTATGTCTGTATCTATGTACGTGTGTCTTTATGCATTTATGTATGTGTGTATGTGTGCATATTAATCTGTATATATATATATATGTATGTATACATATGTGTGTGTGTATGTGTGCATGTGTTCGCAAATTCGGAAATAAGTTAATAAACATATACATGTATAGATAAAGAAACAACGTATATATATATATACATATATATATATATGCATATTCATGTAGGTATAGAGAAAATAAATCTTTGCCTCAGAACGTCACCGTGGCACCGCCGGGGCCGAGGGAAGTGCGCCTGAAGGTGCACGAACCTTTGTGGGAAAGGGAGGACCAAACCGTTTCAGGTTCACCTTCAACTCTGCAGGTTTTGAAAGGTTTTTTTCTCAAGCAGCAAGGGGGCGACTGTTGAAGTTTCAAGAGCTGAAGTGATTGCTGAGATGCGAACTTGCCAGTGGGCTTGGTTGCGGTTTGTCATGCGTCACATATTCACCGAGGTATTTACTATGCCTGTGCCACTGGTTCAGGGGTTTTGTGGAACTTGCAGCTCGTCTTTTCGGAGAGGTGGGATTCTGTTTTCGGCTCGGAGGGCGCCAGAAGCCACTTCTAGACCGCAAGCCCTTTGTTTTCCTGCCAAAGAGTCTTGAATCCATGCGCATCAGCTCCTTGGCTTGCACCTCAGGTTGTCCCTTTTGTGCCGGGGTAGGCATTGCCCCAATGCCAACAGATTTTCGCGAGCTGGGGAGGAGAAAGAAGGCGATAAGAGCGACGTCAAGACAACTGCGCATGGTGGTGAATCACGAACCGAACGCGACCAGTGCAGTAACAGGTTAGACTTTCCAACTTCCAACCACAGTGAAAATCACCATGGCGCAGGATGCACTCTGGAGTTGCACTGTAATCACCAGCATCAACAGGAATCAAGTTTCGCAAGCGGCCTTCAAACGGAGGCCTCTGTAGCGGGAGCAAGTTGCCGATTCCCAGCTCCTGTAGGATTTGAGTCTGGGTTCAGTAAGTAGCAGTATCATTAGCAGTCGCAGTCGCAGTAGGAGTAGTCGTCGTCGTAGTCGTGGTTGTCGTAGTAGTAGTAGTAGTAGTAGCAGTAGTAGGAGTAGGAGTAAGAGTAGGAGTAGGAGTGGGAGTAGTAGTAGTGGTAGTAGTAGTAGTAGTAGTAGGAGTAGTAGTAGTAGTGGTAGTAGTAGTAGTAGTAGTACTAGTAGTAATGGCAGTACTTGTAGTTGTAGTACTTGTAATCGTACTAGTGCGAGTACTAGCAGTACCAGTAGCTCTGCGGTCCAGACCTCGAAGCTTCTGAGTGCAAAGCTTACACTAGCCTTGACAATCCGAGCTTCTTTCTCGCTGCGATATCCGAGGGCTGCTTGCAGCAGCGGCCATCTTGGGCTCTGCCAGCGCTTCGTCCCCCGAGCAGCCGCAAACGGCGGAGCCTCCAACCAACAGTGAGGCGGCCGCCGAGGTGCAGTGCATTGGAAGGGGGGGGGGCGGAGGTCGAGAATGAAACGCCCAGGCATAGCCATGAAACTTGCCAGCGTAGTTGAAAGTGTTCATGAGGCGCCGTCATGGTGATCCCCGAAAACAAAGTGTCACTCCTTGTCATAGTGGTCCATGCAGTCTTGGTGGTCTTTCACTTCATCGTGGCGGTCGCGCCGTCACCGTTGTAATCAGTTTCGTTGTCGTCCTTGGTATAGTCTGCGTCGTCGACATGACCCAGAGTTATCAGTGATCGCCTCCATCATCATCATCATCATCATCCTCTTCCTCATCGTCATCCTAACCGTCATCACCGTCATCGTCTTCAGCATTACCATCAACATGAGCAGCAGCATCATTGGCATCCAGCACGTCGGGTCGTGCGAATTCAGGGATCTGCGCCAGCTCTTCTCGTGTTGGTTGGTCACAGAAAGGATAAACCTCGAAGCTTTGGTGGGCTCGCGAGTTGATTGGGTGTTGGTGTTTTTGTAATCATGGAGGCGGCCACTGTGCAATGAATGAGGAGATCCCGTTCATACATTGCAAGCAAGACAGGCTTAAGGTTGCGTGTCTAGGTCCGTCATGTCTATTGACTTCAGATGCAGTCGTCAAAATGGTTTGGTCATTGATCTGCTTTGGCGAAGGAGGGCATCCGGGAAGACATCACGGAAGAGCGAGCAACTCTTTGGGAAAAGATCGAAGGCCGCCGGGACAGGGTTGTGGGCGCTCGAGGTCGAAGGGCGACTGATTATCCCGCCACATGATGGTGAGTCGACCGCCTCTCCAAGTCGTCTCCAGTTCTTTCGTGATGCCCTGCAGGTTTCTTTGGATCTATGCGCAAATATGTCCACGTCAGTGTGAAGCGCGGGAACGACTACGGTTTGCAGGACCACTTCTGTGTCGACAAGGAGCCTGCCCTCGTTATTAGTAGAAAGCAGCAGAGGGAGATTTCTGAGTTTTTCTTGTGTCAACGCTCAAAACGAGGTCTTTCAGTTTGTGCTTGACTGAGCTTTTTCCACCCCGCAAGGAGCTCTGGAATGATGACACCGTAGTATCTTGCGACTGCTGCCTGCAGCCAAGACACAGGGTCTCTGCGCCAGCAGGAATCTGGAGAGCTGTGTACAGGACCGCAGCAAGGTCATCGAGGCTGTTTGCAGAACGGCATCGGTCGGATATGTACAGACTGGTAGGTTGACAAGCCGAACCGGCACGAAAGCACAGCAACGTCTTCAGAAGACACATCCACACGATCGGCAGTACCGACGGCCAGAAGAATGATAGTACGTACCAGCGGGATCAATAATGACAGTCTGACCACCGCGACCGCCACTACTAGCACCTTCTTCATCGCCATGAACAGGCTCATTCTGCAAGCTGCCTTGCCAGCTTTATCATCATCGGCACGATTATCATTGGCATTATCATCTCCATCATCTTCATCTTCATCATCACGGCCGTCACCATCACTCTCCGTTCAGCACCACCAGGACCGCAGCAATACTATCTATCAGTGCCTCCAGCTTCAGGTTGCTTTTGTGAGAGATCGACTGACTGAGGCATGGACCACTTGATCGGCGACCCGCTTTCCCAATCAGCCCTCGTGTACAAGAGCTCAAAGGACGATGTCAAGAGAAAACAGACACCTGGAGCCGTACATGTAGCGAGCCAACTTGCTAGCAATGATCTGCGCGGAACGGGAACGAGGGCGATACTCAACAGCGTCTGTCAATGCAGACCTTCCTCCTGTAGGCTTTGAGCGTGCAGTGTGAATCAGGAGGAGGCGCCTGCATTCGAACGTGCTTTGGATAGCAGTTATCCGAGCGAGAGCACCGAAAAGCTCTAAGGTTCTGGACTGAAGCTAGGTACGCGGATAGTATTGGAGCTTTAACAACTGGGCCTACACATGAATACACAAAGCCCTAAGCTGCGCGACCTCCTCGTCAACTCTTCTCACAGCATCAGCTGGCTAGTGCCTCAGGACGTGATCGCCCCACTCTACTGAATTTAGTCGTACATGCGGTCATGAACTGAACGTGTCTTCCACTGTCATATTCTCGTGTCATATTCTGACCGTGTTGCTACTCTGCTGCTTTCATGTCTTGTCCAAACAAGAAGCATGTTGTCGAGGCTATGCAGATGGCAGCACTCGACAGGTGCCAGCAGAAACCGCACCTGCAGAGAGGGATGAGGATGAGATCAGCGGATGCAAGCACTGCGGCAGCTGAGGGATCAGGGCATGCAGCCCCTGCTCAAGAGAGAGATATCCACCTGCACCTACATGCCCGATAATGACACTTGACTGGCTGCTGAAGCCACTTCTACAATATGGGAGTGAGAGGAGTGCGAATAGGTTAGTCGGGGATTTAATCGCCAAAGGCATGTGGGCAATGAAGCACCGAATGGCCGTACCATGCGGTCTTGGTAAAACCCTACCCGAATCAACCTGAATCAATATCCCCGACCAACCTTCAGCTTCAAAGCTACGTTGGTTGCAGGTCGGCATGGTCAATGTTTGGAGCCTTGGAGGCCCTCCGTCCTGAAGACTTCTGGCAAGTTCCACTTCTTGGTAGCCTTGTGGCAGATTTCTAGGCTTTGCAGCTTGCATCCTGCTGGTGGACGTTGGCATGCTTGCAGCAGACTCCTTGGCCCAAAGCGTAGACTTGTACTGGCCTTCTTCGCTTGAACCATCTCGCGATGGCCGAAGCCATGCCGTTGCCAGCTTCGCAAACCTACACGATGCCAGCTATGCAAACCTACGCGGCTGAGCCGGCCCTCACTATGCCGGCCGGAGCCATGTCATCCGAAATGGCAGCTTACAGTGGTTACGCAGTGCAAACTATGCCCGCATCGCAAGTTTACACTATGCCTGCTTCGCAAACGTACACTATGCCGGCTACGCAAACATACACTCTGCCCTCTGCGCAAGTTATGAGTGGCCTGGACCACACCAAGGGCAAGTGGTTTGCACCAGGCGAGGCGCTTCCCCCCGGCTTCGTGGTGACCACCCACCCGGAGGGCCACACAGCACCCCAGGAAGCTTGACTTAATGGTAGGGGTCCTGATGATACGGCTTGCAGGCTTCTGCTTTTCTGAGACTACTGAACAACCAAACCACTGCTGAACCAAAGTGTACAACCACACAAATCGTGTTGGTTTTCGTGACAACATGCCAAAGCTGGAAGCATCAAGCTGCAGGCAACCCACGACATGACGGACATGGCTCGCGAGAGCTTTGTGATGACCGGCGCCGCCGTCAGCTCTGCGTTGCCCAAGGCCGCCGCCCCGACGAAGAAGAGCAAGAAAGGCAAGAAGAAGAAGTCCAGCGGCTGCTGCTGAGATCAGAAAGAGATGGCAGGCATTTTGTGCACTGCGTGGCTGAGGAAGTCGCCAGTTCCCGCCATTTGCCGCTAGCTGCCATGACACCAGTGCTTCACCCGTGTCATACCTTTCGGCACAGGCTACTGTGTCTCAAGTTTCACGGATTGTTTGCTTCCATCATGAATACAGAATGACGTGTTCAGACTCGGACCTCGGGTGCGCCCAGGGCAGGGTCGGAAATCTTTTCCGCAACCATCGAAATGTGCTGAGTAATGCCTGTTCATCTGCAGGCCGCATCCCGGCAGTGCTTTGCGACCGCGGACGCTTGGTCTGCCAGGGCCTAAGGGCTGTGGAGCGTCGTGCTTCCGAGAGCAGAATTCAGCATGAGTGGAACTGGTTACACATCTCATGCCGCAAATTAGGCCACTGTGAAGATCCAGTTCGAGGACGGATTTCTTCGCTGTTGGGTGTTGTGACACTTACATGCCGCCTCACCGCTGCATAGCCAGAAAGAGACAAGCGTTGACCAGTCAGACTAGTCCTGGCTGTTGTGTTCCGGTCTTGCCGACCAGCTGGCCCTCAATCCAAAGCGGCTGCTACGTAGCATGGGGTTTCTCGAGAGTCTTAGAGCCTCCATAGCCTCCTGGTCGAGGCTGGGCGGAGTTCGAGCCCGCGTGCCGCCGTGGACATCCATGCCAGCCCCCGGAGGCTCCCAAAGTCTTTGCCCTGGCTTGCATGGACGGAATGGCCTATGGCTTATGGCTGATGACCTGGCAGGAAGTCGTTGAGGGTGTCAGCGTTGGCTACGATTCGCAGGCGCAGGACCTCGGCTGTGACATCGAGTGCCGTGGGATGGACTTGGGGATCTGCCCGGGTCAGGACAGCAGTGTCAACGCTTCCATGCTCGAGATGGATGCTGTTGATGGCGAGGTGGGCTTCGCACTGGAAAGCGTAAACGGGAACTGTAATTCGACTGCAGACCCACAGGTGCAGCCGCTGACCAGCTGCTCCATCGGCCGCATCCCCCTGGGCAGTGCCTTCTGCGAGGTCTGTGTGGGGCGGTGAGGCTGTCGATCCTTTGGGTCACATACTTTGGGAGTGTCACATGTCAAGGGCTGTGCCAGCACGACATGAATTAAGTTCTATTCATGCAGCTCTTGCACTCATCTGAGAAATGCGGCATTCTTCAGGCTGCAGACAATCCGCGGAAAGGTTATGTTGCATGAATCTGTTCCTTGTAATATCTTCCAGGACTTCACCGTGGACCAGTGTGAGAAAGCGTACTCACGGACGAAGCAGGTGCGGGATTGGGACAGTTCTCAGACTGACGGCATGCTGGGCCGCAAGGCCTGCTGTGCCAAGCAGGAATCAAGCCAGTGTGCAGTTTCAGCCTTTGCCCAAGCCGTCTGGCTGCGAGGCAGATCCAGCGATTAGCTGTGATCATTCGACTTGCCGCAGTTAGGTTCTCATCCAGAAGCTAGAGTTAGGTTAGCCGCTTAGCCGTTAGTCCTTTCTTGCACTGTCAGACATCGGTCTTTTCTTCTGCGAGCGTTTAGGCACCAGAATCAGCAGCTTTCATCTCGACAAGCCGATAGCCCCGAATGTCAAGTGCAAATCCGCCGGGAGGGCATCCACCATCTCTGTGCCGTCGACCCGAAGACCTTCAGACACTGTGGGGCCACCTTGATCTCCGAGGACTCATGGCAAACTTTGGCAAACTTGGACAGGTGGTCGGATTCGTCGTCAGAAGCATGCTGCCTTCATTATCACTCTGTCCGCCATCTTCATCAGCGGTGTCATCATCACCAAAATCAGAGCACACCAACACCGTTGCTCGACAGTGTACCACTTGCTAGCTTTCAACCTTGCCATCGTCGCACCACCGTTGCCACCAGCGTCCTTTACTCAATCTTCGTGGCAGTATGGTGGTAAAATGCAGGCAGGCCCTCAGAAGGATCGTGCGAGCTGAAGATGATCATCGGCATGATGACCCAACAGATGGAGGTAGCGCAGTGTCTTCCATGGTGGCCACTCGAGGCGGTGCCGGATGACAATCCGGCAGCTACCTTGACTGTAATGGAGATGCTAGTGACAGTGATGATGATAACTACAATGCCGATGATTGTCAGAGTGTGCTGACAAAACTCAACATTACAACGACGTTCATGCCGATGAGACGGGTGTGGTTTCATAAAGCCCCTGTCTTGTGAAATTGCCGGTCCAGCTGCAGGACGAGGCTCGGAAGCGCACAGAGGAAGCCCGCTCCTGGGCCATCCAGACCCTTGTCTCAGCTTCAGCATGGTGGCAGAGGGCAGAAGGGGCTGCTTTATGGGCAACTTGGGAGTTTCAAGGGTTTCAAGTTGCTGTCTTTGAAGAGGAATCAACCCGCGGCCCTCGTGGCTTTAGTCTTTGACAAGCCGGCACTCAAGCAGCCGGATTCGAGCCGAGGAACTTTTACTCGCCGGAACTTGATTGGAAAGCGGCTCGGCCGCAATCCTGCTGCTCCGCCGCTTGTTGAATTGGTTGCCTGCGCTCCTGGACTCGTACGACAGATAGAAAAGATGTACGATTTGCAGCATCGTTTACCACTGTTGATGGCGGTTGTGGTCTGTCTTCCCTTATCGCTCATGCGCATGGGAGTTGAGTTGTGACAACAATAGTCAATAGTTTCATCTTGATGAGCAGCCCGGCAGGGCCACAGGATGTGTCACTTAGTGACTTAGTGAACTTAGTGACTAGTCGATCCTGCTCTTCGCCGATTAGAGAGCACTTGCAATGATGCTTGGTCTGCATCGTGTGTATCGTGTCGCGATATTAGTCAGGGCCGACAGCAACGAACACGGCTCCGGTGTGGGTTGGGCTTGTGATCAGCACGGATGTCATTCCCTGCTGGTGTGTTTTTGGTCTTGGTCTGAGGCTTGAATTCGTGGAGGTTGCAGGGGTTGTGTTCGTGCGAGAGGGGCCGTGCTCGGATCTTAAGCCAGCCGACGGCCAGTTGCGAACATCCGAGGTCTTGACCGTGAACTTCACCACTCGGGTCATCGAGGAACTCACAGCAGGGCTTTGAGTCAAGCTGGCTTGCGGCGGCGACTAGCGGGTCTGAACGCCAGATCTGTTGTCATGGATTGCTGTCTGTAGCGCAATCGCAGGCTTCGTCTTTTTGGCATGCGTTCCGGTGTGTGGAACGTTCTAGTTGCAAGTTACCCTTTGTAATCTTTGTAGATGCCCAGCCCACCCCAAGCTTGGCCCCTTGGTCCTTTGGCCTCCTTGCTTCTCGGAGTCGCAGGCTGTCTGAGGTAGGACAGCTGCTCAGGACCCTCTGCCACCTGCAGACATCTTCGAGGCCAAGGCCAGCCGGAGCATCGGAGCATGGAGGATTTGCTGCCTGCTTCCTGGCGACTTTGACTTTAACTGCTTCCTTTCCCTGGTGCTTTCAGGTCCGGGAGAGGATGGATGCACAGGGAACTCTCGAGAAGCTCATGGAGTGAGATGCGTGAGTAAGACGGGGACCGTGCACTGACGGCTGCTTTGCCGTGCTTAAAAAGAAGCGTGTAGCTGGTGTCCGCTGCGTCCGGTCGGCAGCACGAGAGGTTGTCCTTTGCCGGCCTTGAGTTCAGGCACTGCGTTGGTTTGGCATATCTGGCATCTGCGCATTATGATTTCAGTGATTTTGTTTACTTGTGAGAAAAGCACCGTTGCATCAATCGTTTCTAGCGCGGTGGGAGACCTTTGATTCTCACCGTCGCTCCACCGCCACAAGGGAGGTCATCCCATGTGGGTTAAAAACTTCATTAGAGACCTATCATGTACTTCCCAAACGGGCCTACACTCGACCTCGCTGGAGGTGCACTCCAACGCGCTGTGCCACACGGACATCTACACGTGCCTCGCTCCGTGCTATATGATGCTTGCGGGGGGTGCTTTTCCTGTTATGGAAGACGTAGAATTTCACACTGTGGCATACGTCATTGGGCCGAGTGGCGCCAAAGTGTCAAGAAACCCGTGACGATCCATTCGACAAAGTTTCGAAAGACACTGCTGAGCCTGAGCCTCGACGCTTGCGAGCTCCCTGTCAGAGTCGCGAAAAAAACTCTCAGCCGAGGCTTTCGGGCCAGGACCCCGAAGGACTCTTCCCCAGCGCCCCGGCTGAATCATTGCATTCGTGGCTGGAGGGGCCCTCCTTGCGTGTCTCACACCGATGCGCGTTGCGGCATGTTGCCCGGGCCGGAGTCTGCCGCTTCCTCCGGCTGTGAGCGTGCTGATGCTTGCAGGCATCCTCGGCCACGAGGCCGGCACCGAGGTGGAGAGCGTGGGCGAGGGTGTGGTAGGTACGAAGCCCAGGAGTGTGAGGCTAGAGGAGGCTTTTGAGGATTGCATTACCGAGGCCTGAAGCCTGGGGACAAGGTGATACCATGCTACACTCCACAGTGTGGAGAGCCAGCACCTGGGCCCGAAGGAAGGCACTTGCAGCAGCGATCTAGATCCATCTGGGTGGTCTCGTGTTGCGGGAGACTGCTTTGGGTTTGAATCACCAGGCAGTTTTGCAAGTCCGACAAGTCGTGGGAGCGAGGGGCACTGGCTGGTGAGCCCAAGCTAAGGATTGCATTTTCTGCTTTCCGCCTCGAGGCACCCCGACCAGACGATTTCTGACAAGTCAAGTCGAGCAATGCAAGCTTGCAGCTTCTTGACTCTAGACCTTGACGACGTGCCTCCGTCTGCCTCCAACCTTGAAGTGGGGAGGAGTTTGCGGAAGGACGGGTTTTCCTGTCGCAAGCATTCAGAGCGTGGCATCAGCCGCGAAAGGGATCAGGCAGTGCAATGTTCTGCCCCGGGGCGTGGCTTCGCATTTCGGGTCTTGCTTTAACTTGAGATCGGTTGCGGTTTCAGTCAGGGTGATCCTTATCCGTCACCAACCCCGGCCACGCCAATGTCGATGTTCTCGACACCCCAGCCGTTCTTCCTGAGGCAAGCGCACCAACCTTTGCCCAAAGATCCGTGGCACTCAGGGTGCCGAGCCTGGTGAGTTTCTTGAAGGTTTGGGCAGGTTCGGCTTTGGTTGCATGGGTTTTACAAACTTATCAAGACTTTCGCTTAACACTTAACACAATGGAGCTTCAGTTCCGGCAGCCCCGCCAAAATCGCCAGTTGTTGCCGCGAGCGAGTGTCTACACCGGTCAATGCTGTCATTGTACATGTAAACTTAGTATCTCGTCTCGACTGCACGTGTCGAAGCCACAACCCCAGATTCTACTTGGCACCTTCCTGCCAGGAGGTGGGGTTATGCCAGACGGCACCAGCCGCTTCACCGACGAGAGCGGCAAGGAGATCAAGCGACTCGGCATGCCAGGTGTCGTAAAGGACTTTCTGGCACAACAAAGTGCATGACACCATGTTCTGGCCGAGCACCTGGAAGCGACATTCACGGAGTGCCAGAGTCCGTAAAAGCTCTGAGCCGAAGCCTCTTTCTGTGGCTCAAGGCCCCCACGCCCCTAAAATCTGCAGGTGTCGGGCGTCGGCAGTAGCGAGCCCCGCATGTTCGTGGTGGAGCCGCTCGCTGACACCCGCTACCGCCGGCTTCATGAGCGCCTGCGCCGGCTCGAGGCCTGGCTGGAGTTGGCCGTGGTCCCTTCGGAGGAGGAGTGCGAAGAAGACCGGGATCTCCTGAGCTGCCCTGAGGACCTGAAGCGCCTCCGAGGTCGCTGCGAGGCCGTTCGTGGCGAGCTCGGTGAAGCCCTGCCTTCGCAGCGTGGGGAGCATTTGAGAGTGGAGGCCTCAAAGCTTCCAGGTGCTGGACTTGGCCTCTTTGCTGCTGAAGCACTCGAGGCAGGATCGCTGGTGGCCCAGTACTCCGGGGACCTCCACGACCTGAAAACCTCGCGAGCTCTGGAGGACCAGGCCTATGTCATGCGCCTGGGCCCAGCAGGCCCTAGCAAGGATGAGATCGCCAGCGGCTGCATCTACGTGGACGCAGGTCCGCACAAGGAGCTTTGGGCGAGATACATCAACGACTGCCGGAACCCGCGAGGGTACAACCTGGAGCTGGTTTGCCGGCCCGAGAGGCACTTGGCCGAGTTTATCGCAAGCCGTCACATTCTTCAGGGCGAGGAGCTTTTCTTTGACTATGGTGAGAAGTACTGGGACGATCGCATTTCCTCGGGCGGGCTGCCTCCAGCGGTGCTGGAGGAGTTTCCCGAGAGTTAGACAGGCTGGCTCGAGCAACTCCGACAACGCGGGGAACTCTTCTGATGAAAGGGCATCCGAAACCTGGTCCATGCATCGTCGAGGCGGGTGGATCGGATCCAGCTGCTGGCCCTTGCCGGGTGCCATGGATCTTTCTGCTTGCAGCCCAACTTCCGACTCGTCGACGAACATGTGCGCCGGAGCTGCCTTGCAGAAGGCTAGCAGCTAGAGGCATGATGCCTGCCGTCAACGTGGAGCAGCCGGCCGTCTTTCCAAAATCCGCTACGGCTACTTGAGGTGCCGCGCGGCGAGTTGCGGTGGCAAACTGAATGAAGTCCGTCTGTGCGTGATGTTGTGGGCCTTTGCTGATATGCTGATGTCGGAGCGGGGTGTATTGCGTAGTGCATCTTCTCACGATTGATGCAAAGGTAGGGTGGACCGTCTTTTCCGACATGTGCTTGATGATCACGGCACATGCATTAAATTTAGAGTGCCGGACTGCCTCAAAACAAAGAGACGGACGAGCCTCTGATGCCTAGGACAGATTAGATTGGTTGGCCGATGTTTGCCGTGATTTTGATTCGCGTCATACTTGCTGATGTCGAACTGGCGCGCATGAGCCGTATGCAGATGTAAGGTTTGAGATATCAAACGTCAATTTGCATATCCCACAGTGCTGTAGCCGGAAATAGAGTCCCATGAGGGAAGGTATGGAGTCGCACCCAGGCTTCCAGGTCCCACTGCAAAGGTTTAGGGCCTAAGCCTAGGCCTGAAAACAAAGGCATTTCATGGGCTGCTCCACCTTCTCTGAATACACCGTGGTGGCCGACATCTCCTGTGCCAAGGTGTCGGCCAGTTCTTTTGGCTTTTGGGTTTTGCAAGAGCCGGTTAACCAAGATGAAGATGTAGTTTCAGTGGTGGGGCAAGCCCCTTTTGATTCTGGAAGTGTTGAGAAGGAGGGACCTATCACCAATGTTGTAGTTCAGTCAATGTGCCTGTGAACCCAGAGACCTCGTCTGGGGGAGTCCGAGTTGCGAGAGCGTAGAGCCTTTCCAGGAACAATAGTTCCTACGCCCGCAGGTGTCGGAGACTGCCCCGCTGGATGCAGCTCGGTGTGCTCAACTGGGTTATTCTCCAATCCTATCTGCAGACGCCCGCTGTTGGGGATGACTTGTGGGAATGGTGCCAACATGCAGCAGCGAAGTCTTCGGGAACTTGGCTGATCTGTATGCAAGATCCGCTCTTGGAAGCTGTCCGCCAAAGCCCCGGTCATCCATCTGAATCTATTTATCGCTATCTTCCCAGTCTCAATATCTCTTCCTCTCCCTCTCTCTCTGCCTATCTGTCTCTCTCTCTCTCTCTCCGTTTCTCTGTTGCTCCGAGCTTTCGTTTGTCTTGTATTCTGGCAGCAGCATGCTGGCGTATGCGGACATTACGGGAGTTTCTCTTTGCTCAGGTTTGCTCGCTGTTGGGCTGTGGCGTCTCGATGCATGGCTGCATGTTCGTGCGGCTAGCGGCTAGGTGTGTCTTTCCCAGATGATAGACCATGCGATGCGGAGTTAGCAGGACAACTCTGTGCAGCTGTTTGGCGAGCCCCTTCATCCGACTTCCCGAGGACGGGCCTAGGTGCAGTATGGAACACCCTGGACGTGGAGGCAGGTTTCCCAAATTTGACCATCGCAACAATCCCAGTGCACCCCAGGAATCACAGAGTCACAGAGCAATAGAGCCAGGGCGAAGATAAGCACACAACGTACGTCGACTTGAATGGCCGCCATCGAGTCATCGCGACCATTGCCAGAGAGTGGAGCATGTGTAATTCAGTTAGTGGCACGCAACATTGCCAGCTGCGTTGAAGTCTCAAGCTCCGATGTAGGTTGAATATGCTTGACGTTTGTCGGTGTGGTTCATCAAAATACAAGGGAACTTAGACCAAGTTCAAGCCATCGAAGGTGTGCACCTGACACTTCAGTGATCAAGTGTAAGCAGAGGGAAACGTGCACAGAGAGTTGGGGCGAGAGAGCACATCATATTTGGGTGGTGCGCTTCTGCATCCAGAGGTAGCTCGTCGTTTAGGTTTGACCCCTTGTCACGTCATCACATGGTTTGGCGAATAATTGAAGTCCATACCGTAACAACAACTCCTAATCCTGAGCAATCTTCCGTGGTGAAGGCTTAATCTCGGAGCCGTTCCGCCCCAGTCAGGGTGGCTCCAGCGTGGCCGTCTTTGGTCTCGGGGCTGTGGGCTTGGCAGTTATTCAAGGCGACGCGGCCGTGTGTTGCTGCACTGTAGTTCTTGCATACTTCATGATGTCCTGCAAAGGAAGGTAGGCTTTTCACAGGTTCAAGAGAGTTAAAGCCGACGCAGAAATTGGATTGGTTTCAGCTTCCAGATTGCCTCCACCCCGATCGAGCAACGGCAGGTTCCCACATGAGGGGCGCATCCCGCATTTTCGCCATCGACACGTCGCCTGGCATGAAAAGGCACAGCGAAATGGAAGGGCGATGCAAACAAGACCTGCAGCTGCTGCTGCCGCTAAAGACGACGGTATAACCTTGAACCCTAGCACAGCCAAGCGCACAAAAAACCCAAAGCAGTCATGGCTTGTGGTGAATGCTCCGGACTGCGTCGAGAATTGCAGGCCAGGGTTTGATTTGCGTAGATAGATGCGCCGCATCCGGGGTAAGCCTTGGGGAGTTCTGGCATCCCACTTTGGAGATGCTTTCCAGATGATTGCATCGTAGTCTGTCCGAAATGTCTCGGTTTTCCGTTAACATGCATGAGGAAACCGAACACCTTTACAACGCGAGGCCCTGAACTTCAGCTCGGTTGTGTGCTTTGCAGTTTCGAGTCCATGAGGTTTTGCCCCCAATGACGTCCTTCCGTTTTTTGGGTCGCGTGCATGCACCGATCACTGTTTTCATCACAGCTTGCTTTCAGTTCTGCCTTGTCAAGGAATCCAAAGAAGTTCGAAATTGCCAAGGACCGCCGCGGTCGAAGCTCCTGTAAATGCATTCCCATAGGCTTGCGGAATACGAGAACTTAGGCCCAGAAATCGGATATTGTCTTTGGCATTGTAGTGGGTGCTGTGGACCAGCTCCTTTACAGTCGTGTTGTCTGTGCCTGCAACTGCCTGGACTTGCTACATGTACACCTGTGCACATACAATGACCCCTATGGAGTGGAAATGCTACATGCACCTGTTCGTGCGGGCGTAGAAAGGTGCGTGCGGAGACACATGCATTCTTCCATCCAGACTTGCCATCTGCACTTGCTCGGGGACATTGTCTTGTTCTCTCTCACAAGCACATGTATGTATCTATGCATGCATGCATTCAGGTATGTCTCGATATTTCTCTGTGTCTGAGTAGCTATGTATTTAATGTTTGAATGTGTTTACAATGGATTTAACGCACTGAGTGTCTTAATGTCTTGAACGTCTTTAATGTATTTAATGTGTTTAATGTGCTTAATGTATGTATGCCTGCATGCATGCATGCATGCCAGTCATGTATGTATGTATGTATGTGTGGCCCATGCACTGTATGTATGTATGTACGTATGTATGTATGTATGCATGTATGTATTTATGTCTACGCACAACCACAAGCACAATTTGAGGACTCTTTGTACTCGCGCGGGCACATGTGCATTGAGTCAAGACATCCAACACACAAAGCATGTACATTCAGACACATGCAGAGACCCGTGACAAGATACATGCGTTTCGCGACTAGGCTCCGCTTCTGCATTGTCTTCAACCGTCGAAGGATCTTGGGGCCACGGACTGTGTCAATCCCAAGGATTACGACAAACCTATCCAGCAGGCGGGAAGCCCCGGAAGGCTTTTCATGTAGGCTCCCAGTCGACGGAGAAGCGCTGTGGATTTTCGACTTCTGAAGTGCTGATCTGATTGACCTGTAGAAGGATGTGTGAAGTGCATTCTAGTTCAGGTCTTGGTCGGGATGACGAAGTGGGGAATCGACTACACATTTGACTGCATCTGGACCGCAGCATGTCGGGGGACGGATCAGCACGGGCTGGAGCAAGACTCTCTGGGCAGCGAGGAGTGGGAATGCAATGAGTTGAGGAAGTTACGATGCCCAAGGTACCGGCAACACCGAGGTGATGCGTGCAGCGCTCGAGCCACTTGACAAGCAGCCTCAGGGTCCTAGAGATGGACTCGGGCGTTGGTGTGTACTGACTTTATGTTTGACCACAGCTTGTATGAATCAGCGGTACAGCTCGCTGCACACAGTGTCGAATTTCTCATAAGAAAGAGCACCTCAACATATCAGGAGCGCACACCGTGGCTGGGGCGAGTCCTGTATCATTGGCGTGGCGGCCGCTGGGAAGGCCTCGGTCGGAGGGGTGAGGGGATCATTTGGGAGGCAGGCGCTATTCTGAAATGCGGCTCAGCTGCTCCTGAAGGCTCTAATCTTTGTGGCCTTATACCTTACCGGCCCCTACCCTATACATGCCTCGGCTGGACAGGCGGAGCGCGATTGCCGAAAGACCCTGAAGGCCTTGACGTGACAGGAGATCAGCACTCGGCCTTTCCAGCTCGTCACGGGTCGGAAGTGGACTGGCACGGCTGGGTCCCTGGCAGGTGCACATGATTGCGTTTCAGGTTCGTGGGTAGGAGAAGTCGCGAGAGCGCAGATGTTTTTCCTGAGTGTCACAGTACTGGAACCAATCCGGGGTACGGCTATGAAGGGCTTGACTCGGAGTTGAATCGGTTTGGCCATTACTACCAAGTTTACGATTCGCGACGTGACCAATATGTGACGACAGCAAGGAAGATCATGCTCCTGCCCTGCTTCTCGTGCTTTTTCTAGCCATCTCTGCCGTGACGGCTCCGACTGATCCGGGCACTGCTACTGCCACTTCTGCTGCATGCCACGTAAAGCATGCCCAGTTCCTGCTTCACGTCGCTGCGACACAATGACGACATGCAATGTTCAACACCACCAAGGATTACAAATGTCGCAGTCGTAGCTAAGTAAAGGAGTGGTGAACAATCGTGTTCGATGGTGATCATTGCGATGACGAGAACTGCTACGACAAAATGTGCCAGCCGCCAGAATCAGTCGTCATCATCATCATCAGCATCATCACCATTTGCAGTCACCATCGGAACCACCACCTTTCTCCCCAGCACTTTCGTCAGCATTGGTTTTGACTGCTTTAACTTCGCTTTGACTTCCTCTTATGCTCCGACTCCGACTGGCTTCGGTTCCGATCGCCTAGGCCTTCGGCGGCTTCAAGGGGCGATCCGAGGTGCCGCCTTTGATCGATGCCTACGAGGCTCCACTGGGCGTTTGGGCAGCGGGGCTTCGGAGCTTGGGATGCAGACCAAAGCCCTGCAAGCAAGTTCTCATTGCAGGGAGACAAGTTGGGGCATGATTCCTTAGGCAATGGCCTTCTTTGGAGGATGTTTGAGGCGAAGACAACGGTATACGATCATGATAATAATAGGATAACATACCCGGCCCAGTGGCCCTCGCCCCAAACCCAGGCTGGGAAGCTGAAGCTGGACCACTACATCACACACCGCTTCGAGGGTGTAGAAGGCAGGGACCCAGGGACCCAACCTGTGGTGTTCCCCGCCTCACGGCTCCCAGAGGGCTCTTTGCGCCAGGCAACCTGAAGGCGATCGATGCACTGCACTCTGGCGAATGCCTCCGCGCAGCCGGGCTCCCAGAAAGGGCCTGAGGCGAGGGGCTGCGCACCGGATCCAGTGTGCTCGAACTTTACCTGCACAGAATCGCTGAGGTGGTCACCTACTGAGTTTTCATTGGCTTCCACATGGTGGCGCCGTCAGCGTGGGAGCAGGGCAGGGAATCGCGGAGTCGCGTTGCAAGTTGCAAAGGCATCAGCTCAAAGCAGGCGGAAGTACGGCTGCCGTTGTGTTCGGCTGAAGATGCCATCTTCCGAGGTGCTGGCAGGTCTGAGGGCAAGTCCACAGATTCTGGCGCGCGCACGAGTAGTTTGTGGAACGTAGCTTTGGGGGATGCGCTCCCTGGCACCAGTGCCCAGGAGGGGCCAGAGCTAATTCAATCCTCCACTGGTGTTGGAAGGTGTCCCAAACAAAGCGTAGGATAATGAGCCTCGCCGCAGGCGTTAGCCGAAACGGCGTTTAGCTTAGCTCGAAAGCCTTTGCAGAAGAAAAAGCCACAGGCACCGAGCACGACGAAGCTTTATTGGCTTGTGAATTCACTGTGGGACGGTGCAGGTGAGAAGCTCTTAGATCCCAATACCTAGCCTTCAAACTTTTTGGGCTCTTGTAGCTTAGTAGGAATCGGAAAGTTTAACCTTTTATTTCTGTGGCTTCTATTGGGGTAGTAAGATCTCGAACAATCGCTTCCGTGATGACCTCGCCTGCAGAAGTGGGAAGATGCCCGCCGCTTCCGCAGGACCAGAACAAGCCCGTCTTCAATTTCATCTTCTGCCTCGTTGTGGCCTCAGAGAAGTATTCTATGATATAATACATAGACATAGATGTATACACCATATATGTATATATATATATATGTATATATATATATATATATAGAGGTGCTTGCAATGCCCTCCGACACCCGTGACCCGTCGAGGCTTTGCTCCCACAGGCACTTTCGACTGTCTTCAAGGCCGGGGGCCTAGGGCAGTGCGGCCCTGAAGTCTTGATAAGGAGCCCCCGAAATAGTACAGGTAATTACTAGGGCCAGGAGCCCTTCAGAGTGCCCGAGCCTTGCATGTTTCCTCATTTCAGAAGCCGCTTGACAAGCTTTGCATCCCCACTCCAGAACGGAAGGCCCGTACGACGCATGCTTTTCAACCACCCATGATTTGGGTGGGAGTTTGCACCCCGACATGTTTTGTCGTATTTTCAGAGCTGCACAAGCACATTCCAGAAAAGCGTGTGCTCCCGCAGGAGATCGCCTTCCGGGGCTTCGACGGCGACTTGGATGTGCCGCTTGCCTCAGACAGCGTGCGTAAGGTGCATCGTGATCTGCTGTCTCTCACGGCTATTCACTGACGAGCGTGAGCAATGCTCCCCAAGACACCTTGTTGTGGTTCTTTTCTTGTTTCCATGCCGACAGCCCCTCTCGGTTCGCAGCGAGCCCTGCTGTGGACTCACTTCTTGCAAGCTCTGACAGGAATGTGCTCCAGTTCTGGGTGGCAGTGTTCCAGGCAGCGGCCCTATAGTGTCCGAGCAATGAGCAGCCCGCCCGTTCCGCTGAATCACGGCCTAGTCACGGCCTTGCTTGTGGCCGAGGTGGTGGTGAATTTCTGCGGCATGCCTATCTACACCCTGAAGGTCCTCGGCCCTCAGCAAGTCCCCCTGGAGGCTCGGGCGTTTGCCGGGAACGACTTGGGATAACATGACTGATATCTTGTTTCTGGGGACTTGAGCCTGGAGCTTCTGAAGGAAATGAGCAGCATTGCTGTTGGTGGCTCGCGCTGCCTCTTCTTTGCAGAGGACTTATGCCGTGACGTCCGGCCAAGGGTTCGTGAACAGCTTGCCTTTACTGCCACAGCCAAGGCATTCAGAGAATTTGAAAGTTTTTTGGTCTCTCTGGTGTAAGCTTGGAGATTAGCATCGGCCAGTTCTCGGCAGGACCAAGTGATCACCAACTGCGGCTTGCCAGATGCAGCCCGGCTTGTTGCTACAAAACCCACTCCCGTGCACACACAGCCTTTGTACATTGACTGTATCTTGAGTCACATTCCCGATGTCAAGCGAGACTTGTGGAAGACGCATAGTGTACTTGTCAGCTTCTCCGTCTTTGAAACTAAAGAGGCGGAGTGGTTGCGACGGTTTGCTGACATGCAGTAGTCATGTTAGCTGCCGATTCCCAGCTGATGATGGAATAGAGCCTGGGTTCAAACAAAAACCACTCCCGCACTGAGATTTTCGTCAAAGGGATCGTCCCCACAGGCCCTGCAGGCATTTAGCATTATCTGTTGGCATCGGTATCAGAGGCTGGGTTCGTGGTGGTCAGTATACTTCCTTTCTGGTCTGTCCAACACTCATGATGCTGGACTCCTTTGGGTGTTCGACTTCCCATGAAAGCGATTTCGCCGCCCCCGGCATTGAGAAGAGTTCGGTCTCTAGGCTGACCCAGAAGCGCAGGAGCTCCGATCCAGACACATAGACTCACGAAGCCGCTGCAAGCCTCCAAGGAGAAACCGTGCGACAACTGCAGCGCTGCTTTCGCACCGGTTTGCAGCCTCGGAAAGGGTGGATACGTAATCTTGGTGCTATTGAGGGTGGACAGGATGTTTTGCGAATGCAGTGTTTCGGGTGGCTGATGCTTCCAGCATGAAGCAAGTCCAGGCAGCCCGTGCATCATGTGAACCTTCCCCAGCTGCTCGGCTCAAAGTGCGGCCTCGTGGCTAAGGATCCGGAGAAGCAGGCAGACAAGAGAAAATCGAGCTTGTAGTCATAGTCTCCTTGCGCAAGAAGCTGCAGCCCGTATGCCTGATGCCTCGCTGCGAACCCCTGGAGTCACGAAGCCAAGCCCTGGACCCGTCGTTGTGTCTTGTCCATTGCCGAGTTTGATTGATTGGAGCGATTGGAGCCCGTACGGCTCCCCAAGTGTCGGCGACATTCCTCATCCCGACAGAAAATCACCGCCCATCTCGGCCATGGAGGGAATCTCCGAGGCTTGCTCCGGAGTTTCCGTCTTCGGGTATTCAAAAACACTTTCGCGGCTTCGTCTAAGATGCCATTGGTACTCGTAGTTCTGATGGCGGTGGTGACAAACATGGTGGTGATGATGATGAGGATGCGAACACCAGCACTAGCCACAAGGTGAACGACAGTCCAGCAAAGAGCAAAGACGATTGTAGCCAACCGTAATGGCGGGAATGTGTGCCTCTCGTGCTCGCGATAGCCAAGCTTTCCCGGAACTCCGGTTCGGAGCTTCTCAATCCTGTGTGAAGCACGAATAATGGCATGACCCAGAACCATAGTCTTCAAGGCCACCTCCAAGAAGGTCATGTTGAATAAGAGACATGATGACTGTCATGCCAACTGCCATACAAGCAGGAACCTCTAGTCTATACAGATTGCAGAGTGCAATTGTGCAGGCGGTGGCTGCAATTGAGCATGAGTTGGACGAAACTTGTCAGATTCTGGCAAGGGTCTCACAGATCAGGCTAGCCTTGCCCGAATCACTATCCATCCATCTTCTCGTCAAGTGAAATGTGCACCAAAATCTCTGCTGGCATCTGCTTGTTGCCCTCAGATCTATCTCACTCAGCGTCGCCCCCTGAATCCTAGTTGTCCGAGTGGGCTTTGACTTTTGGCTGTACCAGAGCGATTTCCTTCCCATCGTCAAACTCAGACTTGGTTTCTGCCGCAAGTCTATTGTTTGCAAGAGTACTTGGAGGTTCATGCCTAGTTATAAGTAGGTTTATAAGTTGGCTAATTATACTTATAAGCCATATTAGAGGACTTGTAACCCCACTTATAACTACCCATGAACCTCCAAGTAAAGAGGCAATTTTTTTACTTCAAGCGCCGCTGCCTCTGAGGAGATCGCATCTCGGTCCCAAAAGGTTAAGGCCAGCCGGCATGGAGGAGGTTGCAGAGTTGGAGCTTTACCACTGTATAGTATTCTCGTATTATCGGTAGAGTAATTTAGTACTATAGTATTATCGTATACTCCCGATCTTTGCCTGAACCCTGGTCGGCCCCAATGATGCAGAATGAAATGCCGAGCCAAGAGTTTTGGTTCAAGCGGGCTTAGGGTTCTCCGGCTGGCAGGCCGCCGTGCGAGAATTCTCGGCCAGCGCATCTTCCAGCTCGGCGAAGAAAGCTCAGGCCGGGTCTCATGAGGAAAGCACCCCTTGATGCGCAGAGCCTGAGGAGCCTCGCACGAACGGCGAGAGCGCATCGCCATTGGGCGAAAACCCGAAGGCTCGGCTGGCGCCGGGCTTTTGAGCAATTCAATACCTTACGAACCACAAGTCCGCCAACCCCATGTCATCATCTCCTCCGGACTGGATCTGCTTCGCGTCGTCCAGGTTCCCATCGCTTTGCAAAGGTTCTGGAGGGCACAGCAGGAGCGCGTCGTGCGCCGCAGTTGCATTGATGGATCGGACAGCTGAGTAGCGTTCCACGCGGTGTCAAGCTTAAACCCCTGCAAGCTTGAACCTCGGTGCCGGCAAAGCAAGCAATGCGGAGTGAAGGCATTTGCAGCCTTGTGCACTCATTAGAGACGAAGCGGGCATTTTCCAAGTCTCCGAACTCCGAACGGGTAAGGCCGGCGGGCTCCAACGTGGCCTCCATCAGCACCGAGAAGAAGCGCAAGCTCTACTCCTTGTCCCTCGGCTTCCTTCTGCGCAAAACGTCGGAAGTCTGTCTGGTGAGAGCATGTGCGCTCTGGGCTTCGAGATCCTTTTTTGCCTGCAGTCTTCGTCTCAAAATGCAGCCCTCCTGGCCAAAGGTACGGTATTTGGGTGCCTTGGCAGCACGGATGCAGCAGATGCCGGCGCGTGCTGCATGGCGTTCTGCCAAATTTTGGCAGTGGGGCAGCCTGCAAAGCGTTCTGATGCCAGGAAGAGCTCAACAGCCGTGCGGAGGAGATGCTTCATGCAGGGAGTCGGTGGTTGCTACTTTTGTCGTTGCACGATTTTTTCCGAATGCCAGCTGCAAGCTGGCTGCAAGAGGCTGTAGGACTGTGGCTGGTGGAGGGAGCACAGGGTGCAAAAGTAGGTTTTCGACAATCAGTGCAGGCGAATTGCGACCACAGCCTGCAATAGCTCCAGTTTCCTTATCCAGGACGTGCAGATGCGATATCAATCGACAAGCAGGTCGCACATGAACCTGTTCATGCACGAGGACGCCGAGAGGGTTTGAAGGGGCTCCCGCCTTTGAGTTCCTGATCGCATACTATACTTACCGGGGCCATTATGGCCCTCTGGAAAGGGTTGCATACGGCCTGAGATACTGGGAGTGCGCTTCTTGCTTCCTCGTGCAAACGCTTAGGCAACCCCAGACTTCGAACCGAGCCGAGAGAATCGTAAGGAGGTGAAGAAGGAGAAGCAAGCAGAGCACGCGCTGACATGTCTGCATCGCCTCTTCGGCTTCGTTTCCGAGGGTCGGGATGTTGAGTTCGGAAAGGTTTTAAAAGCTCGCACCGACAACAAACACGTCACTGGGCAGTTGTGTCGGGCCAAGGGACTCTGATGGATCCGCACTCCACAGCGCGGCTGGTCTGGTCCTTCGTGGGGCTTCTTTGTGCCACTTGGGACGGCAAGCCTAATGAGAAACAACTCTCATGTGGGGGTTGCCTCGAGCGACTTTAGGTTATCTTCGACGCCTTCTCCATCCCGGTGATCGTGAGCTGGGAAATTCCGAACTCGGAGGTCCCGTTTTTGGGGCAGCGGTTTGAGTTGAAGGTCGCGTTTGTAAAGTCAACCGACTTGACATCCGAGCCCGCGGATACGTATTAAACTACCAGCAGCCCCAGCCCTAAGGTCAAACCGGAGAAGGAACAGCAACATCACTCTACTTGTAGCAATGCCGATCTGTGTGTAAACATGTGCAACAACCAAAGGAACCCGAACACTGCTGCAGGTCGAGTCGGTTCTAATACCCATGATGCTCTACTGGACGGTTGACATCGGCGCGAGTGCGCAGACAGGCCGGGTTCGGTGCTACATCGTAGCAATAAGAAGCATAATGGTAGTCAGGATTAGTGAAAACTAGTAGTGACCGTAATCGGTATAGTACACTATATAGTTGAAAGCACTACTCACTACTGACAGTGATTAGAGTACTGGTAGTAAGCAGAGCAGCAGTAGGACCTCGTAGTAGGTAGTCGCGGTAGTAGAAGTAGCAGTAGCAGTAGCGGTAGTAGTAGTAGTAGCAGTAGTACTAGTAGTAGTAGCAGCAGCAGTAGTAGCAGCGGTAGCAGCAGTAGCAGCAGTAGGAGCAGTAGGAGCAGTTGTAGTTGTAGTTGTAGCCCTGTACGCCACTCAGTGCCCCGAAAGGTATGCACCTTTCGCCCGGGTGGGGTTTGGGAGTGTCGGATGTCCAGCTTCGGGAGGGAGCCAAATTCACAGGTATTTGCGTCGTTTCCTGCATCTTCGATTACGGTTTGCGGTCGCTCCAAGAGCTGTAAATTTTCAGCATTCTCTGTTTTTACGACGACGTAGTAAAGGGCATGCAGCTGTGGTATTTACAACATGTTCTGTTTCTGCTCAGAAGCTGTCTTCGTCGAGCGCAAAAAGGCACGAGGTCGTCGAGGGGCGTCGCGGCCGTTGTTCGCTTTGTCGTGACAACCGTGGTACTTGTCGAAATATAGGGACCTTAACAATTACCTACATTGTTTTGGGGTGGTTCCTTATTATGATTAGAGTATAATGGGCCCCCAAAACCAGTTCTAATTACTAAGGCCCCTTAAATCCCTTATAGCAACCTTTACATCGACCCCCTTCTTTTGGGAAACCCTATTCTAACTATTAAGGCCCCTGTAAAGTATCCCAGGCTTTTACGAGAATGGTCTCCTAGTGCAGTCGCCTGCGCGCGCGCTGACGCACTACCTGAGGACGGAGGGTGGGGAAGGCGGGTACTTGGAGGTTCATGGGTAGTTATAAGTGGGGTTATAAGTGCCCCAATATGGCTGATAAGTATAGTTAGCTTTCTTATAACCTTACGTATAACTATCAAGGGGGAAAAGGAGGGACCCTTAATGGGGACCCCTACCCTACAATGGGCTATATAATGGGTATTTAACGGTTATATTAAGGGTATATACCTAGGGGTCCTTATTAAGGGTCCCTCCTTTTGCCCATTAGAGTTATGACTTGCGCAGAACACTAGCAAAACCCATGGTAGGTTGAGGGTTCTAGGGATTCTAGGGTCAAGGATCCAAGGGTAAAAGGAGGGACCCTTAATAAGGACCCCTAAGTATATACCCTTAAAATAGCTATTACATACCCATTATGTAGCCCATTATGGGGTAGGGGTCCCCATGAAGGGTCCCTCCTTTTCCCCTTTGAAACTACCCGTGAACCTCCAAGTAGGGCTATCTATCGGTTTAGGGGTTTTTGAGGCTTAATGTAGGGGTACCCGACAGTTCGAAGAGGCCTGGATGCAAAAAGGCTTCATGTTGAGCATTTAGGGCCAGAGTTTTGGGGCCAAGACGACTAACAACTTGGAACGCAAAACCGACGATACAGGCCCGTTGTCCCTGTTACACTACTGTGTT